ACAGCATATCCAGCGACGTTATTGAGCTCCTGCTTAAGAAGGTCATTCTTCTTCAAGTCCTCGCATAATTCTTTCTTATCGTCTATTGGAGCTACCATATTGATTACCTCAGCAGCCCCTTCTATAGCCATATCAACAAGGCCTCCAGTCACTTGATTACCCATAGTGACTTGATATCGATTATAATATGTTTCAACATCCTTAGCTGAAAGCTTTTTTACATCACCTAAAGACATTTTAACTCCTATGTAAGTTTCTATAGTTCCTAAAACAGCCAGGATAGACAGCTGCTCTCTTTTCTCTTCAACTTCAGGAGAGTCTGGCTTTTTCGCTGTCCTCTTCTTTTTCGTTTCTACTGGTCTCTCGGCAGTTTCGACGGGCGCTTCTTCAAGCAGTTCAATTATAGGATCCATATATATTAGGAATTTCAACATAACAGTTGTAAGGATGCCGAAGACAAAAACAAATGCGGGAATATTTTTCAGATTTCAATATCTTCATAAATTCTTTTTTACTTTCAGCTGATAGCTCACCGCCAAATTCATCAAAAAGAGTTTGATTGGCAACCTTATTCGGTGTAAAAAAACTAATAATGCAAGCTACATTTTCTCTAAAAGGTTTCGCTATAGCCGTMAGCTGYTGTGTAAGRACCCAYAKGCTTATATTATTATGCCTTCCTGAAAAAGCAAGACTTATAAACTTATTTGACCGCTGCTTTAAATCTTTTGTAAATGCRCAATCGTCAAGAATTACTAATGTATTWAATCMGCCAAAKACTTCTTCAACATCTTCTAAAATATTATTAATCTCATCTTGGTTATTTTCGGGCGAAATAACAATGAATCGCTTATCTCCGTTAGCAAAATTCTTATATGTCTTGTTCTTTTCATATGTCGGGCAAATTAGCACTATGTAGCTGAAAACATATCTGTATTCACCCCTTAATTGGTTTATTAAGTATTCAGTTTTGCCGCAGTTAGTAGGCCCAGTTATTATGCAGTGAAAAGGAATCCGATCTTTCAAATCATCCATATATTTAATAAATTATCGACTTAAGGCTAGCATTTTCCAGCTCCATTACGGCATCGGCCACTACAAACATGTAGCAGGTAATATTACCTGATCCGCCCACCGTTCTCTTTATTTCCAACTTAACGCCGTCTTTCGTACTATTAAGCACAAGACCGCCTCCGTGCATATTACTATCATAATAAGTTCTCAAATCTATCCATAGAGCGAATTTACTTGTATAAAAGTCTTTTTGCGTAATATCCGTAATGCCCATTTTATTAACTATAGCAGTCCAAAAGTCTGTTGGCCGCATTCCTTTGCTGTACASTTTATTAGGCATTCCATCCACATTTACATTAACTTTTGTAATTTTCGGATAGACGAATTTTTCGGAATCTCTTGCGCCGGCAGTATAAGGATCAACAAATAACATCAAGATGCCGGACATAGATCTTCTCGGCAAATTCACATGCTCGTTTATTACCGAATCCGTTCCTTTTGCAATGTTAAATGTTTTATGCAAAAGAACATTTTCATAGTAAAATCCTTTTCCAACACCATAATTCGTCAAAGCCTCTTGAGCTAAATGACTGCTATTGATACACTCGTATTCCAACTCAATATTGGAAAGAGAATAACTATAATCTTTTGTGTTATCTGATGTAACACCGATGCTCTTGTCCGCAAGAGTAATTTCAAAAGYTAAATTATTATTCAGCGCTTTAGCATAAAATACGCCGTGGTTATCTATAACAGGATGCTGTATAGGAATTCGATATTTGGTGCCATAAATAGCCGCTAAGGCTACCTCKTTTGCGTCTGTTGATACTTTATCTCCAGCGGCCGTACGAACCTTTCTCATATTAGATGATGAGATTCCTTCTCTAAGCATATTTTCTCTTTGACTTTTTGTTAGAAATAAATCATGGTACGTCGAATAAAGATCCATACGATTCGTGTCCTCTAGAATTTCGCCTCCATATAATACTTTTCTGCGCGAAACTAAATTTCGACCGATATTATTCACTAATGTATTATTAGCCTGGCCCATAGCTAAAGTAAGATTGAAAACAAGCCCCACAGAGCCTGGCACATAAACCATATTGTCGCTTAATTTAGGTAAATGGACATAGAGCGTTTCTCCNTATGGCAAATATATCTCCCTAGACCGAAATATATTCCTAGATGGCATTGGAATATTGAAAAAGTAAATCAAGTTCATCAAGCTGATTTATTATTTCTACCACACGATAAGAAATATAAATACGCTTTAGTAGTTGTCGATGTTGCCAGCAGATACATAGACGCCGAGCCGCTGAAATCHAAATACGCATCGGAGGTTGCAGCAGCATTTGAAAAAATATATTCCCGCAAGTTGCGAAAGCCAGAAACTATTATAGTTGATCCGGGCACTGAATTCAAAGGTGAAGTTACAAGAATATACAACATACAAAGATCAGAAGCTAATAATCATAGAGCGCAAGCTTTAGTTGAACGTGCTAATAAAACTATTTCTGAAAAACTTTTCAGCTATCAATATGCCAAAGAAATGATAAGTGATGATAGGAATCGCGAATGGGTAAAAAGATTGCCCGYGGTTATAAAATCTATTAACGGCGGCGTTAAAAGAATTACAGGTAAAACCCCTTTAGAAGCTGTGAAGTTAAAGAATGTTGATGAAAAACACGTAACATATAAAAGGCCCGTTGGATTAAAAGAAAAAAGATTGCCGGCCGGCGTAAAAGTTAGATATTTATATCAGCCTGGTGAATATGAAGGTGGCAATAGTCAGAGAGCTACTGATCCTAATTGGTCTTTGGATACTTTTGATATAGTTAAAACTGTTTTTGCGGAGAATCAACCGGTTTTATATTATTTATCAGAAGGCGCCCCGAAAAGGAATTTCGTTAGAGAAGAATTGCAGGTGGTTTTGGATGCTCAACTACCTCCCGAGAACGCTTCATAACCAATAGCATTAGTATGAATTTTGTCTTTTAATACAATCCGCTTGTCATCTAAATTAGATAAAGCCACTTTATTAATAGTCTCGGCGTAAATTTGATGCCCTTCAGATCTTAATACATTCATTTTCCGCATTTGCGATCTCCCAGTGAATAGACAATCTTTATAATCTTCAAAAGAAATAGTATCTTTTACGACAGATTTCTTAATTCCTTTACATTTCTTTTCGACATATTCAATTGTTTTATAAGCATATAACTTCGCCCGCAGACCAACAAATTCTGTAATTTCATTTCCTGATGTTTCATCTTTCATAAGACCAATAACCTTTTTATTAATTCTTTTATCAATAACTGGGTGATTACCATAAGCTGAAGTATCGAATTTTGCTTCTAAATCAGGATAGATGTCTTTATAAAAGTCATCGGTTTTTATCTCGTATAAAAGGCTATCAGTATCCGTGAAACATAATTCAGCTCTATTTCCATATTTAGGCTTTATGTAGTTGTAGTGAAAATCGTACATCAAAGATTTAGAAATATCAAGAATAGACATGCCCACGTAAATAGGCTTATTAAATTTAAGATGGGTTTTCCCCATATGAACTGCTATTAAATTCTCAGAGAATATTGTTCTTCTTTTAAAGTTAGGCTTCGAAGTTAATTTCTTTAGCTGATCTTTTCGAGTTGCAAGTCTAATATCTTGACGGTTTCTAATATTCTCCATCGTCTTACCGAAGACGCTGTTATTCATCAGCTTGAAGAAATCTTTCTCAAAATCGTTATCCGCTTTAGTTCTTAGATCTGTATTTAATTTAATATATTCAGCCATCCAGTTTTCTTCTATAAATGTAATACCCCTATGAATTTTTGTAATTTTCATCCCTAGAGATAAATATAATTTCAGAATATGGTGATGA